GGGGCGGGCTGACAGGCCCGGCCCCGCCGCCCGCCCCGAAACCCTTCCTTAAAGGGAAAGATAAAATAAGAGCCCCTTTCTGACAAACAAGGTGTGTCCGGGGGCCGTTTCGGGGCGCCCCGAAGGAGGGACGTTCGGCCTCCGCCATCCCGGTGAGGGGTTTTACCTCAGCGCTGGGACTGGGAGGCCGCGGGAGGTTTTAATTCTGCTGCCACGCCGAGTTTGGAGGACGGGGATTTCTGTTCTGTGGGAAATACGGGGTGGGTTGGTGGGTTTTTTCATCCCGAAAGCGGAGTCGAGGCGTTTCCAGGCAGCTCTCACCTGCCACGCGGCCTGCGTGACCCAGAGGTTTAGTTAATTCCCCTATTTCAGCTTCTGGGTCTGGTTTTGTCTTCTGTTTCCCATGTTGATAGTACGAGGAGGAAGAAACCAGGCCGTGGCTGAGCAGAGGTTGTGAGAAGAATCGCACCCCTTTCAGGGAGGCCTGAGGTAAACAGAAAGAAAAAAAAAAAAGGCCCAAAAGAGCAAAAAAAAATTACAAAAGTGGGTGCTTGGCCCAGTCAGTGTTGTCCATCTCCAGGCTGGGGACAGGCTGCTGTCCCTTCACAAAGTTCCAGGGAGTGGCAGCAAATCTGCCCTGTCCTACATGGGGCCATTTCTTGTGCAAGGTGCCTGGCCCAAGCCTGGCTCCCGCAGCTTTCCCTCTGTGTCTGATTTGTCAGGTAAGTGTGGCACACAAGTGGCCCCTGCTCCTCGCATTTCCTTGCCTTTCCTTGGTTTGCTCCGACTCAGCCTTGCAAGCGATCCGGGGTGACACCGTGAGGGATGCGTCAGGTTGACGGGGCAAACGCCGTTTGTTGGCCGTTAAGTTAACAGGAAAGCGGTGTGAAGAGAAAGGAGTAACCTGTTCTACAAACCCAGGATGGGCTTAAATCACTGGGAGGAGGATTATCAGGACTGGGCTTAAATCACAGTAGGCAGGACTTCAGCTTCTCCTGTGTGTGGCTTCCCAGTGTCCGGGAGCAGAAAGGCAGGTTTCTTTGCTGCTGTCTTGGGATAGCAGAGTTGACAGTGGATCTGTACTCCCTCCCTGCACCATGTTGGCCTACAGACTTAGTCCTTGTCCTGGGCCCCTTTTCCTCCCTTCATCCAGACCCCCAGAGGAGCCTCCCGTTCCGCGCGGGTTTTGGCTGCGGGACACACCAGTGCCGGCCACCACGCCAGGGTGCCCGCGCTGTTCACCCTCCATCTTCTGCAGCAGCGAGCGAGGAGCTCCAGGGTGCAGCCAGGGCTGTTCCCTGGGCTCAGGCCAGTCCGGGGGGAACACCCCTGTCCCTTGTGCTCCCCTGTCCCTTGTGCACCCCTGACCCTTGTGCGGCTCCATGCTGCTCCTGCGAGAGCGTAGTGGGAGATGCGGAGAGTCAGGCAGCGCCCCGGGGGCAGGCGGAGATGAGGAGACCCTCTGCTCCTTCAGAAATGTCCTTCTGAGGCCACAGCTACACCAGAGCTGATTTCAGGGCAGGGAGCAGCAGGGCTGAGCCAGTGGTTTCCATCTGGACCCCACGGTTGAGGGTCTCTGTGGCCAAGTAGTCCTGCTGTGGGGACCACGAGCAGGGCTTGGCCTGGGGAGGTAGACTCTTAAGCTCTTGAGCCGACCCAGATTATGTGGGGGTCTGTGGCTAGCTGCTGGTCTCAAAGCTTTGGGTTTGTGTTTTGTTTTCCTTTTATTCAAATTTTTAAAAATCCCTTTCCATCAGAAAAGCAAACATAAGGTCTGTCTGGATAAAGGGAAAGCTCTTCTTCTGTACAATAGCTCAGCGGGTAGAACATCCTCCCCGAGGAAAGGGGAAAGCCAGGTTTGATCCTTACTTCTGCTGGAGGGGAGATGCAAACGCTGGTCTCCACATGACCCCAGAGAGTACCATAATCAGCAGGCTGCAAGCATGTCTGGTGCAGAGTTTTTCTTGCTCTTTCCTGTTATTTTAAATAATTAATGGATTTGATGGAGCAGGGAGTGGAGAAGGCAGGTGTCCTGTCTCCCTGGAGAGCAGTCTGTGCACCAGGCGAGACAGAGTCTTGCTCTCTCTCTATGAATATTTAAGTGTCTTTAGAC